TATGTGATTACAGATTTATGCATTTTCATCTTGGTTCTATTTCCCCGCAGGAATTGTTCAGCTTCAATTTACTACACTTACTTTATGGAAGAAATGTTTGGGAAAAAAGGAAGTGAGGGTCTTGAAAAAGCACATTAGCTGTTTTTGATTTATAAAATCACAATAGGGACTTCGTTTATTAGTGTGGGTAGAGACACTTCCTCTTTTATTAGGTTTTAAAATGCATAATATAGCATGTGTGTAAAAAACGCAGCAAAAGCCAACAAGAGAAACTGACTCCTACTTCTTTCCCAGTGACCGCAGCACAAGCAGATAAATATATAATAGAAATTCAATACGTCGAAGGTCCTTCCATAACTTGGTGACAACAATATGGCTGTGCATGCACACTGTGTTTAGGACACAACTTAGATTCAGAAATAAAGAAAGCAACGAGAAAAGAAAAAAGTATGCTGAGTTCTGGGAGAAATCATGAGGTTTCCTAGTACATGCACTTAATTTCATCTTTTTATTTCCTGTTTCTTATATTACTTTGAAAAGGGTTCCAAAAATTTTAACAGAACATACAAATAAGTGCTAAACAACAATTTGGAGATTAAAAATTAGTCTTCTTCATCACAAATGCATCAAATCAAATTCATCACATATAATGACTTAAAATAATGATAAGCAAATTGTAGTCACTTTGATTAAATAGGTCAAACACTTAGGCTTCAGTTATAGTTGTCTCTCAACAACACAATAACTTTAAAAACTGCTGCAGAGTGGTGTCATTTTGCTTCCTCACTTATCTAAAATATTAAAGCTCAGAGTATTAGCTTAGGTTGTGTCAACCCCAAGACACGTACTCTATTCAGATTACCAAGGAGCTCATTTTATGCGCACAGTCCTAGATATTGTTCAGTCCATTTGAACACACACTACTATGGTCATTCCTTTTTCCTAAAACTCTTTCCAATTCAAACTTTTACCACACCAGCCTCTCTCCGTTTCCCTCCTGCCTATTTACACATGCAAGTGCTTTTCTCTGTCCATCCTAGTGGATGTTATTCTCCTCCAAAATACTATCCCTAGCCCTCCTCACTCTTTTCTTCCAATGTTGACTACCTCTACTATACAATCATCTTTTGGTGTCTAATCCTCTATTGCAGATCTCTATGCTGGGTTCATTATCTCTATCTTCCAATGGCACGTGTACATTGATGTATTTATTCATAAGTGATCATGTTGACCCCTCACATATTTTCTGATACAGCTGGAGCATCTCTAATCTAAAATCTTGCAAACAGAAAGTGCTCCAAACTCTGAAACAGTTGAGGTGTGGAACTTCTGGATTTATCATATTAGGATGCTCAGCAGGTAAATTCTACATAAAGATTCCAAAATCAGAAGTACTTCTGGTCCCAGCCATTAGGGATATGGGGTATTCAACCTGCATTCATCTCAGTGATTAGTAATATCACTCTCCCTGTCACTCAGCTATGAAGTCTGGATATGTAACTATCATCCACGTCCATTTGATTCTGCCTTATAAGACATCCTTAAGTCCACTCTCTCATCACCTCTTCCTCAACACAAGGCTCCTCATGTCACATTTCCCTAACAGGCTACCAGAACTATCTTCTAAGTGGTCTCCTACCGGATGGTCCAGTTTGTCTCAACTTAGCTCTTCTATTGACCTTACAAACAATGAATGTCTTGCAGAGGCAGGACTAAATCCATGAAACCTGCCTATTCTAGACAAGAAATAAGGGACATTCTCCAGGAAAGGGATGTTTAAACAGAGACCATGAAATCTTGGCTTGAGTAGAACAAGGAAAACAGGGAGGAAAAAAATTGGATGAATCAGTGGGTTTCAGGGCTAGATGAAATCCACAATCATCATTAGAATGTGGTGCACAAACCACACAATAGCTGAATTACAAGGATGGGAGGTGTTCCTGCTATGCTGTGGGATTTAATGCAATAAGAACTCTCAGCCAATGTTAGAGGTAGCCTGTTTCGTGGGTTGGTTGACAGATTTTAGATTTTGAGAATGAAACACATAGAAAACTGGATATGTGAAAACAAGAACCAGCCTCTAGATGCTAATCTGAATGCAGAGGTTGATGTAAGGGTGGTCTTTTATTACTGATAAAATCTGAATACAAGCAAAGATTTAACACACTTCATTTGTACTAAGGTGGTATGTTGTTCAGTTTATAAATCTGATTTTCATAACTAGCAGAAATATGGGCAAAAATTGCTTTCATAGAAATTTATTTTAAGAGACAGATACTTAAAACTTTTTAACTGTACATTTAGAATTAACCAATGTGCTTTTCTAAAGGATTTTCTGTTGTGGTTTACGTTGCTATCATCTGTCTATCAGATAATCCAGAATGTAAAACCCATTAAGACATATACTTTTTCTTACACGCTGCTGTAATATATATCCAAAAGAACACACGGCCACATAGAAAACAAAACAAATGCTGTGCATATGAGCATGGTGCCAGGGGTAGAACCTAGAGCCCTACACAAGGTAAACATGCACTCTACTACATCTCCGGCAATAAATATTTCTAATCAACACATAGTCGTGGAACATTTGAGTAGAACTAGACAATAAATCAAAAAGGCAATCAGAAGTGGTAGAAGAACTGTGAAGAAACTCATCTTGTTCAAACTAGTGTTAAAAAAGGCGCGGCACTGTGATGATTAACTGTTGACTAGTTTGAGGGCTTCCTGGGGAAGAATAAAGCACACTTCAGGGTATGTCTGGGTGGGTACTGGAGGTGTGACTCTGGGGATATTATCTGGCCCCTGGCCCCTTCCTTTCAAGCGCCCTTCTCCTCTATGGTACTATTTCCAGGCTACTAGGAAATGAGCAATGTGACTCTGCCATTTCTTCTGCCCTGATGTTTTCACCATGGAGCCGATCAACCAGAGCCTGAAACTTCTGAAACCATGAGCCAAGTCTAATCTCTTTTCTCTTAAAATGTTAATGCCAGACATTTTGTCCTGGCCACTAAAAGCTAATTAATGCATTAGCTTTATTTACAAATAATACATTACTTACTTATAATACACATGAAACAAAAAGTAAATTATTATCCTTGCAACACAAGGATTTTATTTAATATATAGAGAAGTGTAAAATTGCTGATATCTGAATTTCATAATAATAGGTTAAATGATCTTTTGGGAAATAATTTAAAATTTAAGGAGATAATTATCCATTTAATATGACTGGGCAACCCTATCTGTTCTATGTGTCAAATACTAAACAAACCCCAAGTACTCTGATCACTGACTCTTCAGAAATGATCCTCAAACACATCATTTATCGCTGGGCATCTTTCGTGTAGAAGCATAGTTTCTAAACTCCAAACAGATTACCAAATATAATTTCACTGTTTATTTCTATAAAATGACAAAGATTCAGTCATTAAAAAGATAACCTCAGCCAGACGTGGTGGTGCATGCCTATAATCCCAGTACTCAGAAGGCTGAGTCAAGGAAATTGTCATGAGTTCAAGATCAGTCTAGTCTAAATAGTGAGGTTAAGGGCACCCTGCACTACATAGTGAGACACAAAAAACAAAAACAAAAACAAGCAAACAAAACAAAAAGACCCTCAAAACTTGGCCTATGAAAATACAAGTTCATAAAATAAACCATATAATGTGCATATCAATGTGCATAACATTTTGCATAACGTTTGTTATCTTTTGGGTGTAAACATTTGTTTTATTTTGGATGTGCAATCCAGCAAACTGCTTGATTTCTTTTTGAGTAAATTCTAGAACTAAGTATTCTTTCTCACAAGACACAAGTGAATGTTCCAGAGGGTGAAAAAAAATCAAGATTCAGTTTTATTCATCACTAACAACAAAATGAGTTTACAAGTTCCTATGGTACATAACTACAGGACTACGGATTTTGGTCAAAAGTCTTTTTAGGAGTCAGTATGTTTTCTACCAGCAGTGCTACATTTGAAAATGACAATCACTTTGATTTATGAACCTCAACAGAGTTCTGTTTCAATCTTCATGATTATCTTACATGATTAAATAGTTTTTTCCCATCTAAAAAAAGCTGTGCTTATGTTTAATCCAATTGTAACATGACTCATTCATTGTAAATCATCATTAATGACACTTAAATAAACTATAAAAATCAGAGCCTATACACAGAGGATGGAGCCAACCTCTAGAGTGCTAGTTGGCCTCAGACTCAAGCCATGTCAGCCTCTAGGAGAGTTTCTGAAAGAGCAGGAACTTTCCCAGAGCGTGGCACGATACAGATCTGATCTTCAGATGAGATGGAACATTCCAGAGCTGAAATGTTTTGAGTAGTAAAGGCTTTGATATAACTGTAAGTTTCAATGACTTCAAACAGCAGGGCTTTTAGTAGATTTTTCCCTCTTTAAAAAAAAAATCATGTTTTTAGTATCTTCTGAAATGTTTCATTCCTGTTTATCTCAGGAACGTAGGACATGTCAATGAGATGATATTTATAAAGGTTGTAAGCTTTGGAAGAAAGGTGTTAAATATCTAGAGGTATTAGTGTATCCTATAAAAAACAGCAAATAATGTTCTGAGATTTTAAAAAAACATCCCTGTGCTTTTGTCCTTTGGGTACAATGTTTTGACAAGCTAAACAAATACTAGATTTGAACTGAGATCATAAGTATAGTCAAAACTGAAGAGAATATCTAATGTACTATAACATAAAACCCAGGAATTTAATATCTTTAGAAGTAGGAGCTACTTTAATTGCTATCTAGCGTATTTACCGTCATGCAATAAAAAGCAACAATAATAGGAACATTATCTATAGCACAGCCTGTTTAACAAATTGCTAGCCTCTCACAGCTCTGTGACTCATGATTAAACCCAATCGGGTCTCGTTTGTAATGTTAGAACAATCCCTTTCAAATCCATGTGTAGTTTTAAAAATGCCTTCGACCTTTCCGTAGCAGAGGAAGGAAAACAAAATATCTCTTTGAACTTTACCTTGAACAATGAACTGTTCCATGTTTTCTTTGAAAGGCTGCATGTGCTCTTCAGAGGAAACCTGGTACACTTTTCCCGCTTCGGTCTCACAGGCTGCAATGAGACAGGCACATTGTTCAGTGTCATGCTGCGAGTGGAGCCTTAAAGCAATTTTACAAACGTATTAGCTAATGTTAGAAAATCTCGCTAACCACCTGAACTGACATATGTGGCACATATATTTTGGAAGCATGAGAAGTCTACAGTCAAGGTTTCCTTTTAGCAAATGGTGAAAAACAATTGTTCACAATCTATATAGCTTTCTCACTTCCAAATTGGTCACTTGACAAACCTCTGAACTTCAGGCTCTTCATCTATAAAATGGGTGTGCTACTAGAACTCCCAGTCCAAGGATGCGAATAAAATTGAAAATAGATATATAATATCAGAGTGCTTAGTACTTAGTATGGCCATCATATGGAACTGACTTCTAACACAAGTTTATCTCTAAATCCCAAATTTCTGAAAAATAACAAAAACCAATAATGCTGGTAATATTAGAATAACAACCAATAATTATAATGCATTTATTGTCTGCCAAGAGCTTTGTATTTCTTAGTATCTATAATTTAACACTTAGAATATGCCACTAAGAGGCATTATTACCCTCACAGCTAAGAAAGGTAAGGTTCAAATAAATCACTAATTTTTTCAAAGGTCCATGTACACTATAGAAACAGAGTGATAGCTAAAATCTTTATCTGATATCCAAGTTAATGTTCCTAGCATGTCTGTGACATCATAAATATTTTAAGTAACCTACAGATCCAATTTGTGCTAATTCAGAACATCTTTATAAAATTTTCTGAAGCAATGTCTGTCATCATGGTGATAGCAAGAAACCTAATTCAGAAAAGAAAGAACACAAAATTGAAAAGTACAGTACATATTTGAGGCGGGGCATGGCGAAACAAGTGTGTAACCCCAGCACTCTTGAAGACTGAGGCAGGAGGCCAGGCCAACTCATTGACTTAGAGATACCCTATCAATAAGCAAACAAAAGTCCAGGAATTGGGGCACGGGTTGCAGCTCCCTACAAAGGCCCTGGGTTCAAATCCTAATACTTAAAAAATATATATATATACATTTGAAACCAAAACTGGTCAGACCCATATTTGACTCAAGAAAATGTACTCAGTTTGTGCAGACTAAATGCAAATGCTTAAGGTAAGGCTGCCAATTCCACAAGACTTCGTACTTAAGTTCTGTAACTCGTTTTCTTTTCTTTGTAAAACTGTGTTTTCCTCCTACCCACCCAGCCCAACATCATTAAGTTGTCTAAGCAGGGGAGTGTGGGAGGGCTGCATGGTTTACACACATTTTCTCCTTCCAAGGTAAGAGAAAGTTTGGCTTAGTAAAATCTAAGGCCATGCACATTTAAAGCTCTCCTTCCCAGGCACTATCTTGTGCCTCAGAAGCCAGAGATTGCCCAATCCATACCCTCAGCTCAGCTATCTTATTACCCTAGACATGCTTTACACTTCTGCCCATGTCAAATCCTATTTTCAACACAGGACTGTCACTACCTTCACTAAACACTCACCACCACTGTTTCCTTTGTTGGTACTACTACCCAACCTAAAAAACTCAGGCCAAAACAGGAGAGTTGTGCTTGAGTCACTTTCTTTACTCCAAAATTCTTGCACTGTTAAACATTTCTTCAATTGGCCTAGTTCACTCAATTCTTGGTCTATTGTGGCACCAACACACTCATCCTTCCACCTGGGCTGCCGTAAACACTCACCTGGGCTTCCCAGCTCCAATTATAAAGACCTATGGTGGTCCTCATAGCTCGGAAAGCTATCCAGGCAAGACTGGACAAATTGCCTAAAGCTTTTCAGTAACTTCTGCAATCTCTGTTATCCTTTTTTATTAAAGGAACAAGAACACTTTCAATGTCTGCAATATGAACTACTATGCTTTCTACAATGTAGTTGTTAACAAGTATTCAAAGCACTTATTTATCTGTGATAATTTGTGCAGACAAATGCAAACTGTCATCTCCATACCCTTGCTCATGCCACTGTCTATGCTTAAAATAATTTTTTACCCTCACCTTTACACTGCCAATTCCCATTATATGTGTAAAACTTAACTCAGATTTTACTGTCCCTGAGAGACATCCCTGACCACCCTGTGCCCTCTGCTTTCCCCCATAGCTGTCACCTGCCCCCAGACAGACCTGGGCATCTCTCCTCTGTGATCCCACTGCACCCTGTATGCACAGAGTTAATCAATTCCTTATGGAGCAATTTTATGTGCTGAGGACAGTTTCTAAGTGCTTTCCATGTACTGTCCCATTCAATCCTCGTAAAACTCCTTGGAAGTACATTATTAATAAGTTTACTTTACCTCAAAAAAAAAGTACAGCCCAAAGAGTGTGCCCAGATTTGCTGAGCTCATAAGTTAAGGAAGTGGGTTTGGATATTGGATACTACACTATACTAAAATATTTGTAATTGTTTCTGTTGTGTCCTTCTAAAGTAACTCCTTGTGAAGAAATCACATTCTCATTTTTATCTCTCATGCTGACACAGGTAATACATTGTTGTTGTAAGGCTGAGTGACAGGATAAATAGCCATAGAAGTGCAAATATTCTAGATTTTGGGATCTAGCAAAGTTTAAATTCTACTCCAATCATCCAGAAATGCACCTTGGGATGGGAATTAATTAGCTCACCTCTGCAGACCTTAGCTGCTCCATCCCACAATGAGATTAATGAAATCTCTAATGTTAATGTGAAACTGAGCAAAATGTATTTAAAAATTCCTGAAACTGAACTTGAAAATAGGTACACAAAAAATGGTAGTTAATTTTTAAAATCTCCTTGGTCCATTCATATGAAATACATTTTTAATATAAATCCAAGCATAAAAACAGTTCTTCTGTCTTTCCCTTTTACCTTACATAGTACAACTTCTTATACTTACTGGGGGTCAAATAGAATTTTAATCTAGAAGAGAAGTGTTTCTCATTATCTGAGTGTTTCCATCAATGTCCATCCACATCTTTCTTCCTATGCTGCTCTGTTCATTAGATTTCCCTACCACATACTGAGTGGAAAACTCTGTACAGTACATTGGCTGTGCAATATATATCTGGAGGTTGCTTTGAAACACTCCAGGAATAGACACAGAAAATGTGTGTAATTATAAAATAAGTAAAAACAAAATTAAGCCCACCATCAATAGTTCAGATCTTCAATGAGTTCCGAACTCATTGAAGATCTGAACTATTGATGGTGGGCTTAATTTGTTTTCTGATTGAACTCCCACCCTACGCTACAAAGGATGACTCTCTCTCAACTCTGTCACTCCTTTTTCTACAGAACATGTGAATGATGTGAAATAACAGCAAAGCTCAGGTAAAATGGACTAGAATCCAAGTCTAATTCTACTAATAGCTATGTAATCTTGGGCTAGTTTCTTAAATTATTTGAGCCACTAAACTTTAAATGCTAAAAATTTAAATGTTTTCAACTGTAAATGCTAAACACTGATCTGGCTTTCAGGGGCTCATAAAAATATGACAGTTGTTAATGACATTGTCTCATTGCATTTATTCATTTGTGGACCTTTGTCCCTGATTGCCATTTACATTCTTTGAAGCCCAGGGCTACCCTATTCATCTCCATATGTCTAGTATCTGAAATACAGAAGTACTAAAAACTTTGCATGAAAGAAAGTGCTTTCAGTGTGCCAAGAGCATGAATTTTCTTAGCTTGTATATTAAATCTCCAGAGGAGGGTGACTGTGACGTCAAATAGTGTACCAAAACTCAAATTTCCACAGCTTTTCCCTGTATATTATTATTTGTGGGTGGTTGTTGATTTCCTTATTTACTATAATAACAGGAAAGGTCTGTTGGTTAAAAATAAAAATAACAGGTCTAGTTCTAGAGATTATATATTCTTATATGTGTATAGTTCTCATGTAAACTTTTACATATTCCGTACTGCATATGAATGTGTTCAACGTTATGGGATAACATATAAAGAATAAATGCATTTCTTTAAAAGATTGGATCCCATTCTTCTCTTAACTGTAGCACATCACGTTGTGCAACATATTGTCCTGGCTCATGCTTATCATTTTTAAAACTGGTATGTGACTACACAAATTTTTAAAAAAATACCAAACACTATAATTGTACAAGCTTGAAGGGTCATTTAGAAGCATTATTAAAAACAGACCAAAGAAAGAGTTCCTGGAAAACTTGCAATACAGTCAAATCCAAATATTAAAAGACGTTTTTAGGAGACTGCTGGCATAACTGAGTAATTTCAATCATGTCAACTTTTGTTTAATTTAAAGAGTTTTCTAAGCCAAAAAGATTTTGCATTGTGTTAAAGAAGTAATATTGGAAAGCACGCACCAAGCTTTGAAACACAAAGGAAAACGTAGCCAAGGAAAGAGGAAGCAAAACTCTCTCAGCTATTCCCCCTGGAAAATGGACCCCCACACTAATTCCATCCACAGAGTGGAACATCATGGAGCAGAGCAAACATTACCTTATCACTGTCAGATAAAAGGAGAATATCACATACCACTTCCTCAAATGAACCGTGATCATCAGAGGTCTGGTTATTGTTTTAGGGAACTGGAATACTCTAGTTGTAATTTATATAAATTTCCAAGCGCAATCAATGTTAATCACAGTTTGGAGTAATTGCTTTCCTATGAGCTTGCAGAAGGTTTCACTGGTATCTATAAACCTACTTCAACAAGTATGAGAGGAGCCATAGAACAGGCACAAAGGACAAAAAAACAAGTTTAATTAGACCAGAAAAGTCCTTCTTCCAAAACTAAAGTGTTCCCCACATAAATCTGTTTTTATATTATATTTTATCACTTTCCAAAGACAACCATTGTAGCTACTTAAAGTAGATCAATGCAGGCCATCAGATGCTGATGAAACCCATATCAGTGCAGAGATTAGACCCATCACTTGGTATCCAGCAATGATTACCAGAAAAACAAAATAAAAATTACCAAAACACACAAAAAACAATCCATGGAATGACCCACTAGACAAAGCTGCTACCTCTGCTACC